ACACACACACTAGTTATTTGTATAGCAAAAGTCATATGAAATATATTAATTTAAAACACGGCTACTCTTTGATGTTATTTGGAAAACAAAAGTTATTTATCATAAATTTTATTTGAAAAATAATATATGACTACTTTGTACATACTATATAATAATTGCGAAAAAATGGACCTGGTATTTAATAGTTTAATAGGAGTTTGACCCGGGTAATTGGGCACTTCCAGATAGGAATTCGCGTACCTGGGCAAATCAATTATGCAAAATTGTATTGAACAATAATTTGTTAACGAGATTTTTATTGCAAGTTAATAGTTTGTATTTATCCGAGAATTCTGAACAGTAAATTGAATTTCTAACAAATACATTTACACCCGACTATTGTAAACAGTGTGCACACACACACACATTCACTATTAATTTCAATAGCTAAATAAACAGTGTCCAAGGTCTATTTGCATAAACACACACACAGAATAAATATTAATATTTTATAACCACAGCCTTTGTGTAAGAATTTGTTTGTTTGAGTTGAGAATATTCTGACGTTTGTTATAGCGAGCTATGACTGAACCGCACGCTTACACAGTGCAGAGATACCGGAGCTAACAGAATATTCTTGTCTCTAAGGCTTTTTCCACTTCCACAGCGTTATGTTAAACCAGAATAAATATATTGTGTACTAAACACATATTCCTAAGTGATTGGTGTCCCTGAAATTCTTGGCATTCAATTAAGGCTTACAGAATATTCTGTCGCAAAGTACAACACATGTAATCCCAGGGCTGTTAATATTGAATCAAGTCATTGTATGTTTTTTATGAATATAATTCAATTGTCATATCCGGGTGAATAGTACAGAATATACTTTTTTTTATGAATTTATTGCCTAATATAATAAAAATCAGATATTTATACAAAGTATATAAGAATACAGTATTATATACAATAATTAATTTTTGCTAAGAAGCCCAATTTTAAATGATTTTAAAATCACCTAGTTTGTATCAAAAAGATTTTTGCTGAGATTTAATAATACATGCTTTTATAATAAAATTTTATCAAATAAAATAAGTAAATCAGCCGAATGTTAAAGCTAATTTGATTTATCTAACGTAATATACCAGATATTGTCAGATTTTAACTTATTATAAAATGATAAAATACGTTGAAAATTATAAATTTAAGAAATATTTTTCCAATGACTATACAAATGCCAATGTCACCAATCAATAAGATATAGGTTGACATATAATTTAGTCTAGCATACCTTTCTCCTGCATTTTTCTAAAACAATATTATAAATGACCAGTGTCCAGACTAAAACGTTATTATTAATAATTATAGTATTAAAATAACAAATTATGGTGAGATAAAAGCCATAATAAACTCATACAAAACCCTAACCAAAAGTATTATTACTTAATCTATTGCAACTGTAAACCAAAACCTTTAACTTAATATCACTTTATTTTCACACAAAACTCACCACAACTTTCCGATATAAACGACATGTCTGTCCCCTAAGGGTAGCGTCCAAGTGATGTCGGTATGGATTGCCTCAATACCTTTAGTTACGGGCGCAGCCGGGTTGTCCGCCGGTTGCTGCTCGAGTAGCCGTCAGATAACGAGGTCTTATTCCGAGGGCCTCGTAACGGCCTCTCATCCGACAGGTCTACCGGTGCCCAACACCACCAAAACCCGAACCCTAATAGCTATACGAACGGCGATAACGGACACCAATCTGGAGCCAGCCGGTGTCTGGACGTCAGGCATGACATGCCGGTATTATACACGTTTACCGGACCGACACTTGTTGACACGCTACTGAAATTGGTCAAACAATTCGTGGAGTTGCAGCTCGTGCCAAACCTACTTAGGAGTACCGCTCAGGCCAGGTATGTGTCTGTGCGCCAAACAGTATGTGTGTGTTTCTGTGGGGCAGGTAGTCATGAATATTAGCACGAATTTTATAGTTTTTCTACTTATTGTATAGGACTTCCTTGCTAACATACTATTCACTACCTGTCCCTTGAATTGAGTTTTCCCCATACAGTAGTAACTTTAGCAAATATTATGATCGTTTCCATACTATTTTTAAACATACCTGTCCGCCACACATATACCCAATCATAACTGGCAAACAATGTTTCTGACCGCCTGTCCACTCCTATAGGGTTCAGCTGCAAGTGGTGCAGCAATTGGAGCAGCACTTGGACCGGGAGAAGGAACGCCTATCGGCAATGATGCAACACTTGCACAACAAGCATAGGGCCCAACAAACATCCGCAGCCTCCCTGCGCTCGCTCGGCCCCCAACTGCCCCCTCAGCTCAAGCACTTGCTTCACGAGAGCGCCGGCAGTCTCGGCTCGTCTGGCCTTAAAGATCCGGACGCTTTCGAGCGCCAATACCTGAGCGCCGGTCTAAACGGATTGACCCAACAGGTAGGCGCCGCCGGTTCGCCGCCCGCCCACATGTCGGCGTCGCTTATGGACGACAAACTGGCTATACGTAAGCTATCGATGGCTACGCCACCGCCGGCACCCACATCCCGGCCCCCATTGGATACTTCACCGCCGCTTATGGCGTTAGCCGGTGGAGGGGGTGCCCGGAGACGACTGTCCGACAAGTCGGGCCCACCATCGCTGCCATCGCCGCTGGTGTTGACCACAAATAACGTCAGTAATGGCAGTAATAATAGCCGCGACTACGACGGGAAGGACGGCGGGGGTCAGTCGGGTGGGGGCGGTTCACTACCCGACTCGCCCGCCCGGCGCCGTATAGCTGAACGAAGTAATCTGGATATCACTGAAGAGATTACTAGGAATCGCGAGTTCTATAAGAACGCTGAGGTCCGGCCCCCCTTCACGTACGCCTCCCTTATCAGACAGGTATGTATGCCTTATATGTTGGGGTCATTCAATAAGTATAGTACAAAAGGAGGCGACTATTCTACTGTAGATAGTGAGGCATATTAAGCATTTATGTTGTATCTATAGTATGGTGTGTACTTTACACTAATCTCTCGCATTTTAAACCTCGTGAGCACGTACTCATTGAATTGATCACTGATTTTGTTAGAGTTTATAATGAATCTAATAAATGGTTTGCATTCGTAGGCTATCATTGAGTCCAACGACAAACAGTTAACGCTAAACGAAATCTACAATTGGTTTCAAAACACGTTTTGCTACTTCCGTCGCAACGCCGCCACTTGGAAGGTATGTCCATCCAATCTACCCCTTGACAAACCCCCACAACTAACCTGTCATACCTGTCCCCTATGCCATAGAATGCCGTTCGGCACAACCTATCGCTCCACAAGTGTTTCATGCGAGTGGAGAACGTGAAGGGAGCCGTTTGGACGGTCGACGAGATTGAATTTTACAAACGCCGACCCCAGCGCCTACAGGAGCGCATATCCAGTGGTGGTTCGTCCGGCGGCACCGGCCGGGGCGACGGCACCGGTATGGGCGACGACGAGTTCAACAACAGCTACTGGAGCTGCGACGACCAGGATGTGCCACCACCCGTGGCCAACCCAAAGAAACACATGGCTAGGGGTCGACCCAAGCGCTCGGCGCTCAATATCAACCGCTCGGTGTCGTTGGGCAGCGGCGGCGGTATAGTGGGCGACAGTCGCGCCCTTATGGGAGCTACCGGTGCCGTGAGTGCGCCCAACAGCGCCTCCATAGCATATGGCGATCACTCGCTTAATGTGTCGCTACAGGCACTGGCAGATCAGTCGGCTCTACCGCCTTTTCTTAGAGGGCTTACGGGCGCCGGTAGGCTCAGCGGTAGTCCCAGCCCTCACGGCTCGGGTGGCGTAGAGTCGCCCCAATCGCGTCGCCTAACAGACGACGAGTTTGATGAGGACGAGGAGGTCGATGAGGACGACCAGGAGGGCTATGACGACGATGTCATGGATGAGGGCTTGGATCTCACGCTACGGCCGACGCCACCACAGCAGCATCCCATGCCGTTGGGCACCGGTAGCCGGCGGACTAGTACTAGTAATAATAGTTACGAAAATTCTTATAATAATAATAATTATGTCAAAAATAATATGACAAATGACACGGAATTTGACGATAATTCCGGAGATAATAGCCGACCGAATGTCATGAATATTAATAGCAATACAAACGATAACGACATTCAGAACCAGAAGAATGTCTTAAACACGTCCAACGAGTCGGCCGACACAGATAGGACCCCTAATAGCGAGGAATGTAATGATAATTATAATAATAGTAATAATAATAACAAAACTAATAGTAATAGTAATGAGGAATCGGTTGCCATCGACGCCGACGACCAATAAATGGTGTCATTTAGGGATTAAATACTATTGTCTTATATATTGTGTGTTAATTAAAAGTAAGATTAGAGCGCCCGACCCCTACCCCCTACCCTACCGGCCCACACGTAAGCCCCACACAAAAGGACTTATTTTAAAAATACATTAAACAAACTTAACTATAATTACATTATTTTTTAAAATTAATTACAAATTGTTATGTCAATGAAAAACAACATCTCGTTTATGTTTTGTGTGTTTAATACATATTTAGCAAATTCTTAACGATTATATTTTTTTGGTCAAAACATTTTCCCGTTTTATTCTGTCTATACATTACTTTTATATGCATTTATAGCATTTTATTTTTAATTATTAATTACATTTTCATTTAACCAATTTAAATTAATACAAACCCGATTGCTAGTCACGTATTTTACTGGGGCATATATTGTATTTTAGTGGGGGTGGGGGGGAATGTTAGATACAAACATCCCATTAACATTTTTATAATCACATTAATACATAGCTCAAACACAGTCTAAATGATAAATTTATATATGATAATTTACGAACCACATCATTTAATAGCCCCCCATTTAATGAACACCCTGCTCATCTATTATTATTGCTACTCAATATAAACATATGCAACAGATATTCTGCAGTAGTTTTTTTGAAAATATTAAAATTACGAAAATTATTTCAAATCGTGTGACAAAAACAGACATATCATTAATATTTGATATAAAGAATTTGCATTATGTGTGGAGTGAATAATAATAATAAACAAAATGAGTGAATTTTAAAAGATTTTTAGATTTTCTAGTGAAAATAAATTGTCAAAACGAAATGTATAATAAATTATGCCTCATTTTTTGTATCGATAATAACATTGATAAATAGTGTAGAAAATAATTTATTGATAAGAATATATAGAGTGAGAGAATATTCTGTATATTCTGTTAGTGCCGTCCGATTAATATAAATATACAAATAAAACGCGATAATTAACACGACTTTTCATATCAATTATTTGAGAGATATTTCAGTAATTAATTAATCAATCGATTTAGTAAACAGAGTATAAATAAAAATATAGTTTTACATAAATTACAAAGTTAAATATATCATATAAATGTATTGATAATCTAGTGACAAACGAATATACCCAAACATAAACATATATGAATATAAGTCACACCCTATAGTTTGCGGGGGCATTTTGACAATTTATACGACAAGAATATTCTGTTGTATATAAATCTATGAGACATCGAAACCTATATATTAAGTAATTAAATTTTCCGATTTAACTTAATTTGTAGTGTATTTAACGAATTTTGTGTTTGTTTATAATTACGGGGAAAATGTTTTTCTAATGTTATATAAAGTGTTTTTGGTAGTAAGCCAGGTAAATAATTACCTGATCGTGTAATGACCGAGTACCTCTGTAATTGCCAATACTATTGTTTGAATTGAAATTATTGAAACAAAATACAAATACAATTCACACACGATTATTAAATTACCTAAACATACCATTACAAAACTATTGTCTCATTTTATAATGTATAGATAAAATTATACGATAATATTTAATAATTAAACGGAGTGTACACACTAATCATCAAGGTCTATACTGGAACACTGTACCAGTACTGATTTTTGTTGTATAGTGTATAATAGCGTATGTAAAAATAATGTTTAAATGTGTTTGAACACACAGTGAGACAATTTCCCGGCTATAATTCATTTGAAATATAATTTTTACAAAATATATTATAACTTAGTAAGACATTTTTCAATTAGTTTTATATCATTATCTATCTATCTCTCCAGTCACCTGACCCTTATAGCCCTATCCCTTTACATGTATACACAATACAAACAATCCCTTCATATATAAATGTGTTTATATAAATAAATATTATGATTATATAATTAGGAGTATATATATATTATATCATACGATTATATAGAGTAATATAGAGTTATATTGCATACAAACCAATGATTTATGATTATTATTATTAAATTAATTAATTAAATAATTTATGTGTAAAACAAATATATAATAATTTTGTCTCTTTATTTGTTTAATTTCTATTATAATTATTATTAATATTATATATATACTTATGGCTTAATAAAGCAAAATATATTTTCAATTATTATTTTTAAGTTTAATTTGTAAGTCTTGTGTCAAACGAGTAATTAATTTAAGAAATTTAAATTAATTGTGAATAATTATTTTCTAATTATTAAATATTATAATTATATAAATATAAATACATTTTATGTTTTATTTGAATTAATTTTATGTTTTATTTGGCAATCATTTATATATTATATAAAAAAATTATAGATTTTTCCAATTTTTTTCGCCACCCTCTCATTATACATATAATAAATAATTTTAATAATAATTTAATTTTAATTATGAGAAAAAAATACATATTATTATTGATATTATAATTGTTTTGACCAAAGAATTTGATGAATAAAAATGAAATAAATTTTGAAATTTTAATTAAAATTACACAAATAGTATTCAACTTTTTTCTCACCACCTGTCATTAAATAGTAACAAAGTTTTCAAACAATTTATCAAAACTAATCAAAACATATCTCTCGCGTAAGTAATAAAGGAAATATTATTTTAATTACAAGTTAAATATGATTAATAAAAATAGTGATTAAGTTTCATAATTTTGAAATTTAGGTGTATGTGTGGGAAATGGATGCGAACCGTATGTTTGGGTACGCAACACGTGTAAAGTTATTAATATGGGGTTTAAAATGTTTACTTTTTTTAAATACAAAACAAGTTTAATAATACTTTTTATAATAGGAGTTAAGTTATTATTAGTCTATGTTTTGGTGTCAAATAATTGGGACTCTATTGGGAGGTATAGTAGGATTATGTAAGTTATGTCCAAACCGTTGAATTTCAAAAGTATACAAACATTAAAGTTGGATATACTTACTGTAACAACACTTCATATCTGAAAAGTGTATAGAAGTGAAGTTTTTATTACAGTAATGTTTTCATATAATTTAGTTAACAGTAAATGGTGCATAATTTTCCTTTAAAACTAAATAATACTAATTATTAAAATCAAATAATAATATCAAATATAAAAATTTAACCAAAACTTTAAAAAACTAAACTTTTGTTGAACTAAACTAAAAGTTGTTTAAAATACTTCACAGATATTCAAAGACATACCGATTCATCACAAATGATACGGAATTCTCATCGGAATATTATCCGGAAGACAATATCACCGCACAGTCGTACCGATTGGACACCAGTGGGTGTCGTATGAGTGACCTACCACTCTATGACCAGGAGACCCGTCCCCTATTCCAGAAATACATGAACTCCCCGGAGACCATATGGTATTGTGAGAAAAAGCCACCCGTCCTGATCAGTCGGATCAACGAGACCTGGATTAAGTTGGACTGGTCGGCACTGGCCTATAAACCCCTGTGCTATTTCCGCAAGATCACTGGCGGACCCCATAAAACAGAGTTTATTTACGGTATTAAGCATTTTAATGATTACTGTAGCTGGGTTAGATTAGAAAAAGATTATGTGTTAGATATTCCTTAGAACTAATTTATATTTTTCATTACCTGTAGTAAATTACGATAATAGACTTTATAGTGAACAAGGTTCGAGTTCAAATCAACAATTAATGAATACCAGTAACAATATTCCCATTCATTGAATATAATTCGTTATAATTTTCAAACAATATATTTATGATGTTACTTTTTTAAACAATGCGAAAAAAATTATAAATTGTATAATAATTAAATTGCATCCAGACAACTTCTGGGGTCCGTTGAGTGAGCCGGTTATGAATCATCCGGACTCAGAGTTCGTACAAATCCTGTGCTTCACAAACGCCGTACCACTTGACCAGCGAAAGGTCACCGGAGACTACAACGCCTCCGACCCCCACATTATACTCAACCATATTATGCCTTTAATACCCCGGGTGTCCAAACCGCCACCACTCGATGGGGGCCTACCCTTCAAAAACACGACTGTCCCCAACGTGCTGTTGCTCGCGGTGGACGCCACTTCTTATGTCAACTTTAAACGACATTTTGTGAGGACGGGTAGGTTTTTAGCCGAAAAAGGTTTCTACGAGCTTATGGGCTATAATAAGGTGGGCGCCAATACCTTTCCAAATATGATACCGTTCCTCACGGGACACACACCGGAGGAACTGGTGAGCGAAGATATGCTTAATAAAATCCGTTTCGACGACTGGCCCCTCATATGGAAAGCCTATTCCCACAAAAACTTTGTGACCCTATTTGTGGAGGAGATGTCGTGGTGCGGGTTATTTCACTTCAATCTCCGGGGGTTTGAACGCAAACCCACTGACTATCAGATGCGACCCTTTCATATGGATATCATGTCTGAGAAATACAATTATTATTGTTATAATGAAAAGACTGAGACCGAGGTGAGTTAACTCAAACTGTATGGTTATGAGGGGTTGGGTGGTTAGGAACTGATGGGCCTTTGGTTTTAGAAAACTAGACAATTAGGGTATTTTAAAATAAGTTTGGCCAGGGTCGTATCATAATAATATTATGCTTATTTATGTGTAAACTATTTACTAGTTTCATTGGTTTATAAAAATGATTTTTTAGAGATTTTTAAAACTTTACAAAAATACTCTAACTTTTAACAATGCTTTAGCATTATTTTACAAATTCTATAATTTATTCAAAACTCCATAAAACTGTATGAACAGTAAATTACTCTAATTATTTTCACTATTATTTTTAATGTAATATACAGTATTAACAATTACCTGAAATTTGCACATAAAACTAGCACTCATTGGACTACACGTATGACTTCATACGGGCTATGAATGAAAGACAACAAAACTATTTCGCATACATTTCCATATCGGAGATGACTCACGACTCGACTAAAGCCGCACACTATCTGGACGTCCCCTACCATACCCTTCTCAACACAATCTTTGGCCAAAATTTGGTCGACAATACTGTTATCATATTTTTCTCGGACCACGGATTCAGATACGGAGAGCTCAGGAAAACACATGTCGGGGAACTGGAGTCTCGGTTGCCATTCATTTTCATACATATACCCGAGT